CATGATTCTAGAATGGAGATCAAGAGTGGAGAGGAGGACATTTTAAGGGAATTTTAAGGAAGGGCAGGAAAGGGGGAGAGTCAGGTGATACATGTGACACGAAAATTGAAGGAAACTATTATGGAGGAGTAAGAGAAAAACGAGCCAGGGACGGCAGGGTCATGAAGGAGGGCAGTGGGAGAGGGGGTGGATGTGTTAGGAAGAAAATATGATGACAAACACGTACCAAACTGTCATCAAAACCCATTAGTTTGACTAGTTTGAAAATTGATCTATAAAAAATAAGTAACATGTGAAAATAGTACCTGAAGGCAGACAGCTGTACCTACCTGTGGTGTGGAGATATGGTACATTTGGGGACAGAAAGAAAGGAACACTAAAGGACTCAACCAAAATAAATAGTTAAGATGGTAAACTTTACATGTATTTTGTTGCAATTAGAAATAAAAACAGGGATGCCAGGCATGATGGCACTTGGGAGGCAGAAGCAGGTGGATCGCTGTGAGTTTGAGGTCAGCCTGGTCTACAAAGCAAGTTCTGGAACAGCCAGAACTGTTACACAGAGAAACCCTGTCTCAAAAAAAGTGGGGTAGGGGAGAAAAGGAAAGGAAAAAAAAGAAAAGAAAAAAAAGAAAAAAGCAGAGGCTGGAGAGATGGCTCAAAGGTTAAGAGCACTGGTTGCTCTTCCAGAGGTCCTGAGTTCAATTCCCAGCATGATGGCTCACAACCATCTTTAATGAGGTCTGGTGCTCTCTTCTGGCTTGCAAGGCATACATGCATGCAGAATGCTATATATAAAATAAAAATAATAATAAAAAGAAAAACAGAGATTTGTAAGATGACATAGCTGTTAAGAACACTTGCTCCTCTTGCAAAGTACCTGAGTCAGTTCCCAGAAGCACAGTGGAGCTCACAACCACCTGTAACTCTAGTTCCAGCCGCTCTGATGCTCGTTCAGCCTTTATACGCGCCATTAGTGCATGTGCAAACTTGCAGTAACTCACACACCTCTAAGTCAGTCTGTAAAACCGCATATACAAAAATGAAGAGCAATTTCCTAAAAGGCGAAAAACACAACTGGGTATGGATAGTAACTCCAAACTTATCAGACATGTTAGCCAGGAGTCTGTCTATAGCTGCAAGCAGAATCAGCTGGTTAGAAAAAAAGAGCCCAAACGACATCTCAAAAGAGATATGAGAAATGTAAAATAATGAAGAGACCAGAAACAGGGAGAAGCCCTAAGTTCCAGAAGAAAATGTAGTAAAACATGGCATATATCATGGCTCAGCACCTTCTGAAGCTATGAGGAAAGAAACAAGCACCATGGAGAAAGAAATGTATGCATTACAGAAAATGTTAAATAAAGAAAAATACTAAAAGGCCCTAGAAGGAAAATGCATATTATTTATAGGAGTTGTGATTTAATTGGTATCTTATCAACAAAAAGAAACGGAGGTTCCTAAGCAGAAAATTATGAATCTACAATTTTATTTATGTACTTGTCTATTGGTTGTTTAAAACAAGGTACCTCAAGCTGGCTTCAGACTCATTGTGTTGCCAAGGATGACCCTGAACTCCTGATCTCCTGCCTCCATCTTCCAAGTGCTGCGATTACAGGTGTGCACAAGCACACCAGGGCTGAGTCTAAAAAATTGTATGCAGATCAATCACCCTTCAGAAGCAGAGTGAAGGAGAGACAAGTTCAGACAGCCATAGAAACTACTAACTGCTCTTTATAAAACTATCTTTTGGAAAAAAAATAAAGCTTCTCAGAAGCAAGTTACAGTTCAAAGTGCAAACATAGGAGCCAGGGGTGCTTGGTCATCTCAGATTGTCTGAGAAAATAGCCTATTTAAATACACGTAACACATTAGCCTGGTTGTTCCTGATTTCTGTGCCTTTGTTCTGGTTAAGACCAAGGTCAGCTCTGCCTGGCTACTCCCAAGCACCTTTCCTGCCTCTTATTCAGCCCCTCTTCTCCACTTTACAAAGTAAACATTTATTTTATGTGTATGAGTGCTCTGTCTGCATGTGTGCCTGCATGCCAGAAGAGGGCATCAGATCCCAGTGTAGATGTTGTTGCTGGGAACTGAACTCAGGACCTCCGGTAGAGCAGACAGTGTTCTTAACTGCTAAGCCATTCTCTCCAGCCCAACACTGTTAAAATGTACCACCTGAATGGCGAAGGTCTCAGATTCCGCTGGAACTGGAATTATAGATAGTTGTGAGCCAACAGATGGATGCCAGGAACTAAAATTGGGTCTTCTAGAAGAACAACAAATGCTTCTAATCATTGAGCGATCTCTCCAATCCCATCATTCACTCTTTTTTAAAAAAGTGTCCTGGGAATGCCCTTGCATGATTCTTCTGTATTTCTTGGGCTCCATGCCTTTCCTAGTAGCAAAATATGAGATGCTGGGAAATATACCTTTCAACTAGACAGCTTGTCCAGGATCATCTTTGCGTGTGTGTGTGTGTGTGTGTGTGTATGGTGCACATACATACACACAGACAAAAAAAAAACACATTCGTATACATAAAATAAATAGCCGCTTTTAAAAAAAAGCGACTCATGCTCTTTTCTTCTTGCTCTCTTTTCTTTCTTTTTCTTAGCTTTTGGTGATCCTTTACTCTCTTCCACTATTCTTATTCATTTGTCAGTCCCTAAATGAATCTGTAGGTTAGCATTAGACCATTAGACCACAGCTTGTCTTCTCTTCACACCATTCCTTTGTTAAATTAAATCATTCATATCATTCTTATGTGGGCAAATTTCACATTTGTAGTTACAGCACACGCAAACATGGGTGTATAGTTATTGCCTTTGGAAACAACAAATCAGTGTATAAAAGTAAAAAGATGAAGAGGGTAAAGGAGAATGAAGTATGTGCTTGGTTCTGATATGCTCTTTCAGAAAAGAAATAGAAGCCTTTATGAAGCGTAAAGCTCCAATATTCACTCCCTCATAGTTCCCAATGGCCAGCAATCAGGTCCTGGGCTGCAATGAAGAGCTGCACTTACTGCAAGGCTAACATGGGGGAACTATTCTCTTTCTACCTCCTTCCCATGGAATTACCTGGGTTTAGTTCCTTGAAGTTTAACAGACTAAAAGTTTGTCATTGGCTTCAGGCCGAGGTGCTCTCAGTTTTCACCACACAGACCTTTCCATTGAGTTAACAAGGTAGTGGTTGTGTTTATTGGAAGGCACAAGAAGGTGAAAAGAGGTCGAGTGAGAGCAGGCTGAAAATACTTTGGTTTGGTTTGGTTTGGTTTTTTGAGACAGGGTTTCTGTGTGTAGTCCTGGCTGTCCTGGAACTCACTCTATAGACCAGGCTGGCCTGGAATTCAGAGATCCACCTGCCTCTGCCTCCCGAGTGCTGGGATTAAAGGCGAGAGCCACCATGACCAACTGAAAATACAGTCTTAAACAACCTGATCTCAAAGGGAGATGGGCGTTGCCTTCTGTTACTTTGCTGACAGCGATCTTAAAGTGCAGCCCTGTACAAACGGGCGAAGGCCACAGAAGCAGTGCACCTCATGTGTTGGTTTACACGCGATGCCTCCTTCGTCTCAGCATTTGAGTGCTCAGTCTCCAGGTAGTGGCACTGTTAGAGATTTAGAAAAGGAAGCCTTGGAGGAGGTATGTCACTGTAGCGGGGTTTGGAGAATTCAAAGAGTTTTGAATTTTGAGTTTTCAAAACCATTTTGAGTTTTCTCTGTTTCCTGCTTGGACTTAAAACTTAAGTTGCCAAACACTGTACATGTACGCCCAGCGATAAGTTAAGACATGAGCCCTCCAATTCTTCCTCTTGCCTATATGTCTCTTGTGCTTGCTGCCATGACAACTATTATCCTTCTTGAACTGTAATTCCAAAGAAATTGCTTCCTCTGTAAGTTTCCTTCGCTATAGTGTCTTCATACAGCTATAAGAAAATACACCACACAAGCCCGGTGTCTCAGGAGCTCAGATGATAAAGCATTTTATAAACACCAGGGAAGACTGAGATAGGTGGGCACAGTTACTGCCAATCAGCTGTACAGTTGGGGCACCTTGCTCCTGTCAGACTGCAGGTGGCACATTTGAGAAGGCCACTCATTTTTCTGTGCTGTGACATAAATCGCTACAATAATGCAAAATGTAAGCTTAAAACGTTTACTAATGGCTGGGAAGATAGCTCAGAGGCAGTGTCTGCCTAGCATGTGTGAAGCCCTAGATTCAGTTCCCACCAATGTGCTATGAAGTTGTCCTGTGGCTACCATCTCTTTTGGATCTCATTTGCATTATTTATGTAGTATCTCCATTTCATTTCTCACTTTTAGAGCAAGTCTCCAAAAATTTTCCTCCTCATTTAAGTAGGAGACGCTTTTATCATGAAGTCATTTTTGTTAGTGTCAGAACTCAAGCGTTCCAGCTTACCTACTGAGTTCTGCTGTTATTTTATTTAAAAAAGACAAAACTAGCACATTATAAGATTAGTGTATTAACAGTTAGCACATGGATTTGCATCAACTTGATGAGGCAATCTCAAATCGTTGTAAACACATAGCCGTGGTCAATGTGTCCACTGAAAAACCTTAACAGCAACTAGTGTGTTTGGCGCTTACTTTGCCAGGCAGCCCTTGTGGGGTTGCTAGGAGGCTCTTATGTGCAGTTCCACTCCAGGCCACAGGGGGCAGAGCAGCGCCTTCCGGCTCGCCGTTCTCGAGGCCGCGTCTTTCCCTGTAGGAACCGACCAAGTCAGTGCGGAAAGGGGGATGAGATGGTGCAGAGGGCCAGTAGGCCTGGCCCAGGCTTGCTGTCGTGGGGCGCTGCGCTCCCTTTTGGTTCATTACTTCAAAGTACGTGATCCAGGGAAGCTGCCACGGACGGTGCATCCCAGGAGACTCCTAGGCAGCGCCGGGGCGCGCCCGCCGCTCTCTCCTCCCCCGTCGGGCGGGCATAAGGTGTGCTCCGCTCCGCGCGGCCGGACCGGAAGCTGGCGCGGGCTGCGCGCGCCGCTCGGCCGGGGAGGTCCGCGCCGCGAGGGTCCGCTGTCCAGCCGGGCGCGTCCGGGCCCATGGGTCTCCATGGCGACGGCGGGGCTCTCGCTGCCCGAGCCGGGCCGCGGCGTGCCGAGGGCCTCGGCGGCAGCGTGGCCGTGTTCGCCGCCGTGGCCGCCGTGTTCGCCCTCACGCTGCCCCGCTCGCTGCCCGGGGGAGACTCGGGTAAAGTACTCGCGGGCCGCCCCCTCCCCTCCCTCCCTGTTCCGGGGTGCTGCCCGCCGCCTCGGTGTTCGGTCCCGTCTCCGGGCTCAGCGCAGGGTTCTGAGTTCCAGAACCAGGCCGTCTCTCGGTGTCTGGATCTCCGGCCTCTGTGTTCTCGAGCTGTCCAGCAGCGGATGGAATTTAACCACCTGTCTACCTAACCCGGATCGTTTTTACTTTCCATAAATATCACGTACCGAGCCCCTGCAGTGTTATAGAAAAAAAAGATTGACAGTAGTGAACAAATAGTACGGGACGTTCTTGGTAGAGACGACAGCGAGTTACTAAATAAACTACATTTTAAGGGATCGTAAGTGAACGGAAGAACTAAGAGAAAATGTGGTTGAGTGGCAGTGAGTCGTAGGTCCTTCAGAAGGTAAGCAAAGGTTTCTTAGGAGGTGGTATTAGAACCTGAATATTAAGGAAACAGCCATGCAGAAAATTCAGAGAGCAACTATAAAAGGGAATGCCAGGTGCAACTTAAAGCACCCCTCTCTGAAAAGGAAAAGCATGTTTCACGCAGATTAAGTCAGGGGCATAACTGTTCCCATATCTGAGACTAGAAGCACGTTTCTTGTTTTACAGCCAGATCAAATGACCGATGATACCTCATAATAAGCAATGTTTTCAGAGTGGTGCTGTAACTTAACTATTTCCTGTTTATCGTTTCACTATGTGACAAGTTCTTTCAGATTTGTTTGCGGAAGCAGGGAATGTGCATCATCTCCTAGCCTGTGGGTCAGTAGCTCAGTGCAGTTTAGCTGGCTTTGCTAACATGGGACAGGGTGTGGGCCGGGAGTTGCAGATCTCTCCGGGCCCCATTGGGGAGCATCTTCTTCCAAACTCAAGTCTAGTCCTTTGCTGTGTGGCTCTCCATAAGATGGCTGATTCCTGTCAAAAGGAAGAAAATAGAGCATTCTGTCTGACACCGCTGTCATTTTGAAACCTAATCCTGGAAGTGATATGCCACTGCCCTGTTTTATTTGAGGGAGTCAGTAAATCTAGACCAGTTCAAAGGGGAGAGGATTACACGGCAAGAAAGCCAGGAGATGGGGATTACCAGGACTGTCTTCAAGATAGCTTGCCACGGGAAGAATCCTTGATGCTCCATTTTCAGGTCATCTCCTCTTTCCGGTTCCACTGAGCACTCAATGGGGTGGTGTTCATTCGCATGGCTGGGAATGGAGTTATTAGCTTTTCAAGATTAATATTAAATAATGAAGTAGTTGAAGGGTGTCAAGAGGTTTGATATTTTTGAGTGTTTATTTAGAGGATAGATAGCTCTGTACCCAAAGTCACAGTGAGGGAGGGTTTTCTGAAAAGAATCTAAGCAGAGTGATTTTATAACATTCTTCTTAATGTCTACTCAAAAGAATTTTGGGACATTGTTAAATTCTCTATCACACGTAGTGATAATAAATTTGTAATTGTTGCCTTTTATAATTCTGTATTTCATGTGTTACCAAAAGAATAAAGTTCTGTATTAATCTGAATTATGAGACTTCTTGCATGTTATGATTTGTTTTCCTGGATGCTAAATAGCAGTTGCTTCTGATATTTTATGGTCATTTTTGGAATCATTGAGCTATTTTTCAACTGTGTGCCAATGTGGAAATATTGTTTAAGCTTACTTTTGATCATATTGTTTCTGTATTGGATGTACTTGAATGTTTATGAAATATATATTCTGTCAATAAACAGAACACATATCAAAACAAAATAAAGCATGAAGCTCTTTCTGATAAGTCTTAAGTTTTACTCTGTAAATCTACCACATTGTGGGCATTGCCTTTTTTTTTTTTTTTTTTTTTTTTTTTTTTTGCTACCAGACATTCATTCATGGACAGTTCTCATAATCCTTGAGAAAAAGAATTAATTTATAGATGGATTTATATATGTTAAATATCGTGATTTTAATGGATGACATATAGCCATACCAAATATACGTGCACTTGAAGCATGTATAGACAGCTCTGGGCTCACTGCTAGTTTGCATCTGGGATAACAAAGTTGTGTGTTTCAAACCTGAATACACTTCAGAATTGCCCAGCAAGTCTGGGTGGTAATGTAAGGAGACCTTCAGGGCCCCACTGATGAGGACTAGAAGAAAGCAAGAACTCAAGAGGCGCTGAGTTTATCTCAGTGTTTACTTTTGCCTTCCCCTTTCTTCACATTCATTTTAACAGCATTTCCTTTGGTCTTGATCATGAATACATTATAGATTTTGAACAGTGGCATATTTTTGTTTAGATTGAGCATTGCCAAGAATTAATTAAACTGTCGATTTCCAGTTTTATCTTTACAACAACAGAAGTTCAGGGATAAAAATATGTGTGAGTGTGTGTATGTGAGAAAAGCAGTTATAAGAGATGGTATTAATATTACAGTGTAGTTTGAATACATTCTGAATGGAAGAGAATGAGAACCTTGAAAGCTGGAACTTAAGAGCAAAAATAAATCAAAACTGAGTGAAGACTAGGAGAAAAAATTTAAGTTTGCTGCCTTTGAGTAGTTACACAGAAAGCAGTTACAAGCATTTTTAGACTGTAGTTTCTATGTAGTGAGGTTTTCAGGACATGTGAAGTACTTCAGTTTCTGGGGCGTCAATATCAGTGAATGACCTGAGTAAGCAGCATGTATGTATTTGCCCTTTTGGGGGTTTCTGTGAAGCTGTCATTCACTTAGAAAATGAGGTTTCTGAGTAGCCAGGAGGACAATATGCTATGTCTTTGCCACCGTCTATGTGCAGAGGATTTGTGTTAGGTCCTTTGTGGGTGGTCAGAGAGGAGGCAGGTGGCGTGTCTTGTGAGATCCTGAAGCGGATATGATGATGTTTTTAAACTTAGAGAAGTGAAAACAACTAGCTAGAATATAATCCTGTATTGGAAAGTGCTAAATAGTCAAGTAGGTTCCTGGGGAGAAGAACCTGGGGCTAGAGTTGTGTAAGGAAAGGTGTTATTCAGAAGTGGCAGAGTGAACCCGGCCTTGACAGATCTAGGGAAGAAAGATTGAGAAATATTCCAGGGTGAGAGGATGACTGATGGGTTGTGAAAAAGGACCAACCGTAGTGGAACACTGGTATTCAGATTTGGAGAGTATAGGTTCAGTGGAAGCAAGGCTGCCAAAGGGACCTTGAAGCCATTAGGCCTGACTGGAGAAGCCCTTATTCTTGATAAGATATCTGGACTTCATTAAGTAACAGCAGCCACTGAGAAATTATAGGGACAGGGCCCAGCTTCTTGGTTTTGTATAATTTGGAGGAAGGGTGTTGCAGTCCATAGTAGTCTTGGAACAAAGATAAAGTGGATAAAGCCTGGTGGGTGAAGGTCCACTTTCATAACTAGGACAGTGGAAACGAAAGCCAGAAAGTTGATACCTGTCAAGGAATAGAAAATGTATACTAGCACCTTTCCTAATGAGCAGTAGTAACCACAAGTCACTATTAGGGCCGATGTCTCACGGTGCTGTGTAGGGACGGGAGTCAAAGGTAGTGTAGTTACTTCCAGTAGCAGACACTGGGTTACGTAGTAGCGTGCTGTAAGCTTAGAAAGGACCGCATGTACGTGAGGAGCTCCATGCAAAGAACAGGATGGCTTATTAGTTGAAAGAAAATATCCTGGGAGCGCTTACCAAGACAATGCAAATGCTTAGAGATACATGCCTTAATGTAGACAGCTATCCAACAAACCTCAGACCTCTGCACATATTTTATGTCAGACACCTATATCTTTTCTTTGCTGTAGGCGAGGCAGTCTCACCAGGTTGCCCAGACTGGCCTTGGACTTACGGTAATCCTCCTGCCTCTGCCTACCAAGCACTAAGATAACAGGCCGAAGCTATCACCATGCAGCTTTGCGACTGCGTGTGTGCTGAGCTCTTGACAGAAGGAAACACATCACAGTCATGCTCTGTAAATGTGTTTTGTACCTTTGCAAATGAATGCAACTTTCAGGAAGGAAAAGGATTTTTTTTTTTTTTTAAATGAGAATTCACCTATATTTCCACTGACCAGTTACTTAAAGTTATGGAAGATAGTCAGTTAATAAGACCTGTGGGAAAAAGTACTCTTAGACTGTTTCATGCTGTTAAATCTCTCCAGATTTACAGTTTTATCCAGTCAAATTAATGCAAAACCCCAGTGCAAGCATCCGGATTTTGAAAACTTTGGAGGAGTGTCATTCTGTAATAGTAATTATTGGTTTTACATTATTTTTTCACAGGGGAACTGATCACAGCCGCACATGAGCTTGGAGTAAGTATTAGTTTTATTGTTTAATCAATGCTCTCATTAACAGTTTTAGGAATTAAGAAAGTTTAATTAAGCATGGAATAAAGTAGATTAATTTATTTTCAAGCCCCAGTTTTTAGTAACTTATAAGTACAGTACGTGACAATTTACTTTAAGTTTTAAATCCAATTAACTGAAATTATAAAGCAAAGCCTTTACTATATATACAGTAGCTGGCTTATTATCACCCCAAATTTTGTATAAGCTGTGGAGAATAAATCGGGTTAACAATTTTAATAAGTTGATTATTTAATAAACTTTATTATGGTGTGTGATCCCTTTAGTCAAGACCTTCTGACTGTCAGGGGTGGTAATCCGATGGCAGTGTGGTCTTGCAACTCTCTCACCAAGATGATGTTGCAGGACCTGCATGTTTTCAGAGACTTTTTAAATGACCCAAATGGACTGTGACCCTAGAGCACAAACTGCTTCAGGACTGACAGTGGAATATATCACCTTTTCTTTAGGTGATGTACCAGATGATAGACCAATAAAGAAAATAACTATATTGACACAGATAACATTTTGAAGCCACTGTTGAGACATTAGTCCTCAAGCTTGCCGGAGAAAAGGGCTTCTTTTCAGGTAAAGCCCGTGTGACACATCTTTTTAGGTGAAAACATCTAACTGTTGCTTATTTTTTCTGTAGGTTGCTCATCCTCCGGGCTACCCTTTGTTCACACTGGCGGCTAGCCTGGCAATCACACTCTTTCCATTCGGTTCCATCGCCTACCGGGTCAACCTTCTCTGTGCTCTATTTGGAGCGGTAGCAGCTTCATTCCTTTTTTTCACTGCTTTCAGGTAAAGTAGTTGACTAGTTAACTGTGAGTAATCCTCACAGCCAGCTCTGTACATTAGTTGGTAAACTCTTTGTTGCTTGCGTGGCTTCCCTAAGTCACACGATTTCACTTCCTTACCCTGCATTGTGCAGTGCTTTGTGCAGTGGGGAGAGGGTGTCTGTTACCTGTTCCTTGTCACAGTTCTCTGGTTAGGCAGAACCAATGAGGTCTGTCACTTGACCAAGGTGAGGGCGGGCTTATGTAACCCAGCAACACAAAGCTTGTCTTATAAATGGTAAGTTCACCTAATTACTCACCATGCTGCTGATGGGCAGCTGCCTCTCAGGCTGGGCCTGCCTTCCAATTATATGATAAATATGAGCATACTATATGCTTTGGAAATGAGGCTGTTAGCCAAGGGAATCACATTTGGGGTACAGTTTTAGTGAGGTTTCATGTTGTCCCACGGTAGCCCTAAGGAAGGGGCACAGGATAGATCCTGATGACTTCATGCTGGAGACGTTCTTAGTTGGCAGCTGTTCTGTGTTTAATAGATTAGCTACTGGTTTAGGATATTGCTAAACTTGTTTGCCTTTGATGTTTCTGTCTCCATTTGCAACTTAGTCTAAACTTGTTTTCTAAGAGGATAATACCAAAAATATAAATTGTAATTTGTGGAAAATGGGGAAAAAATCCTGCTTCTGTAAGCTTTTCTTAAAATAATGTAAATATAGTCTAATTTGAATAGATTAGTTTACCAATATTAATTTTGGCAACTAGAATTTTAATATAATAGTCATAGTATTTTCCTTTAAATTTCTTCTAAATTTCTTTTGAATTATTTGTAGAAAAGGAAATTTAGCATAATAATTCTAAAACTTACCTTTAAATATATTTGTAGAAAGGGCTCAGAATCAACTATTATAGCTTTGATAATTTTATCTATATCACTTGATCTGTTTTGATTTAGCCCTACATATTTTCATTGATACTCAATCTTGTAATAGGCAGTGTTTAAAATAAGGTTTCTGTCTGAGTTGCTTAGTACTATAAATATTTTTTCTAAAAAGTTGGAATAATTTTGATTAAAACTATTTCTTCTGAATCTTCTATGACTAAGTACATTCCAGTTTTTTTACTGAGAGAAAATCCGATCTTTATTATTTTTAGATATTTGGGATGAAATTTGGAATTTAACCTGTTCAATATTGAATGCATGAGTTATTAATTTTCACAAGAAACTTTAACATAGACACTTTAGTACTGTGAATATGTGTGTGTGTACGCGTGTGTGTATGCTCTGAGGCAAGTAAGGTAATTGGTGGTCTAAAAGTGTTCATATTTTCTCACATATGTTGATGCCATTCTGTAAGGAGCTACCATTTTTTAAAAACACATATAAAAACCTCTTCCAAATTAAAATAGCTTTGAAGAATAATTTCCCTTTAGTTGCCCAGTTTAGAAATAGCTTTTATTACTTACTGTGCTTGAGTCTGTGAGTTTGAGATGAGCACATCAGCATGTGACTCTTTGACTTTAATACCAACAACGTTGATGAATCATTACACTTGCTGACACTTTAAATCCAACTCTAATGTGCTAAACTGGCTCTCTGAGTGGTTTTGCTAATATAGTACTTCAGAAAAGTTCTTTTCTCCCTGGAAAAGAATCTAGCGACAGTATTGCGCACATGCACTTCAATAGGAAAATACTTCATTATTTTGAATACAAATAACTGACAAGGTACATGTCCTTTGGGAACAACCCAGTTCAAGTGGCAAATCTGTTTTGTCAAACAATAGACACCCTTCAGAAAGGAGAAGCCATCTCTATGGTAATAGGACTAACAGTAGCCTATTGATTGAGTGGAAGAAGACATTATACAATGTCAGCTGGCTTGTTACAATTTCATTTGTTGTATGACCTGAACTTAACCTCTGAAACCTTTCTTCTATGAATATAAACCCAGCAGCAGGAGAGGTTTTGTGCAGCCATTACAGTGGTGGCTTTTCCCCAGTCCTGGTGTACAGTAAATATATTCCTTTACAGGTTTCCTCCCTGATCAGAATCGTTTAGGAGACATCTCACTACTTTATTCATTTGCAGACAGAGTCATCTTTCCATTTTGTTGTTGGATATTGAAGGATTTGGTTCAGAAGGTGGTTGGGTTCTCTCTGCCCCTGCCTTTAAGAGATCATTTCTTACATGTGGGTTAGGGTTGACTGGTGTGCAGTAAATTAATTTTTTTAACAGGTTAAGTTTGTTTTTTTTTTTTTCCAGTTAATTGTTTACATGGCAGTCACTATATTTAGTTCTTGGGGTGGACATAAAGACCTTCTATACCTTTTAAACAAAGATTGTGTTTCAAAGGAAAATCTCTGTTTAAATGTGTTGATGTAAAAAGCTCTGTTTTTTTTTCCCAGTAAACATGACTTAGATTGAAAGAACAATTTATTCCTTGTTTCCAATTACTATGCAATTTTTGCTTTTCTTGTATCCTTCTCTTGCTTTTAAAAGCCCTAAGATGTCATTAACACTGCATTTTTTTGTCAATCTTTCCAAATGGTTGGCAGGAACGCATTTGTATTTGATTTGCTCTAATGTAGAAGCCTATGAGTAAAATAGCACACTGAAGGCAGTATGTGTCATTGTAGTTTATTGAATTAAAAATAGTAAGAACGTGGCAGTACAGTAAATATTGTTCCCTTTGGGATTTTTTAAAGCATGCATTTTGTTAGAAGAACTCAGTCTTTCATTTTAATGGAATAATACTTAATTCATCACTTTATATTAAGGTTATGTAATTAAGTTAGTGTTTTAGAAGAACAGGGATTTTTCTTTTAAAGCCACTAAGGTAAATCACTCTTAAATTTGATAATATGTAATTTAAAGCATCCTATTTATAATTCATAGATGCTATATATAATTTTTTTAAGTTATAGGTAATTTATATCATAAATATGAATGCCACCTAACTTTGCTTACTATTTGATTTCGAAGTTATTTTCCAGGAAACATCGAACTAGATCCTATATAGTGAATAAGGAAGAGGGCCAAAGTCATCACCATCAAGCATGAGCTTCACATACATTTCCTGTGTGCTGCTATTACTTAAAGAGAAGAAAGCACACTGACAGCGTTGACAAAAACGCTGTACCTCAGGAAGGCTTAACTGTTACAGCTTCTGGTCAGGGCACAACTTATATCATTTGTTTGGGGAGGTATAAGGTAAGAAATACATTCTCCATATCCTTGAAAATCATCAAGTGAGGATGAGAAGGAGGAGGATGTTCACCTGTTAGTGGCCAGATGGGGCTACAGATAAATTCATGCCACAGTTTTTATTGAGCATCCAATGAGAAATGAAAGTAGAATGCTTATAATTTTTACAACAAAATTCACTGTTAAGGAAAGTGAGATAAACCATCTATTCAATAAGCATATTTTCAGGCATTCTAAAAGAGCCTGCCCCAGAAATTTATAAAAAACACTAACTAAGACCGTTAGCACAGTAGGTAAGAAGTCAGATCTTAATGTCAAATATATTGTATAGACTATGTACATATTAATAATCAATGGTATGTTGGAATTACAAAGAAATTAACATCAATTGTAGCAGTAATTGACAGGTTATTTTATGTCCATATTTTATGCATGGAATTTTTGTCATTTTTCATATTATGTATTTCTAAACATTAGTTCACTGCTAAAAATTAATTTGATTATGGTTTTGGAAAGCGCTTTATTCTGAGCAGTATGTCTACTATTACTATGCTTTGATTAAGATTCCATTCAATAAAGAATAGAAAATTAAAATGCCATACCTTGGAGAATGCGGAATCTCCTGCTTAAGGGACATTTGGATTTTCCACCTCAAAGACTGTTTTAGATTATTGCCATAGAGAATAATGTGCAGCGCTTCCTAATTTCAGAAGTAACTATGCATAAGTAACAAATCATCTCCAAGCTTTCATACTTGGAGAAGAATGGGAAGTACCAGAGCATTCATTTCCATTCAGAGGAATATCTGTCTTGATCCCTGGTTAATTGATCATATATTTTTCTCATACTTGTATTAAAATTGCATTGACTTGGGCTGGTTAAGCATATTAAGAACCAGTTCATTTGCATTTTCTTATAAGTTGAGGGACATATTAGGCTCAAATAGCAGTGCTTCATTTCGAAGGGAGAAAAGCAGGGCAAACCTCTTTTAAGACTGTAGAGTCTTTTCTGACAGCTAGTCAGAGTTAGAATTAGTTCAAGGAGATGTTAATAGTGCACTGGCTGGCCTAATCCCTTTGATATCACCAGGTATCCTCCTGTTCATGGGTTAATTGCTTTAAAAGCGAAGGCAATATTCTGAGCGGTGGGCCGCTTCACCTTTTCACAGCTGTTACCATTGAGTGACAACTAAATCCCATGTGTAAGATGAGGAAGAGCTCAATCTCCAATTGGGAGAAAATTTATGTAAACCGCAATCCCTTCAGAATGTGCGGAAGTCATAGACTTTCTTGATTTACTCTGCTTTTCCCAGAAAGCTCTATTGTTCACTTTCCTAAGTCCCATCAACCCTTTGTAGCAGAATATCACAGCGGCAGCAGATAGCTTGAAATATATAAATGCTATCATAGCTCTGATTAATAGCAGTGCTTATGAGTCAAGTCTGATAACAGCGCAGCTCTCCACTCAATTTCAGATACTGCTAATGGAATCTGTCTTCTCCAATTGTAATATGAGAAGGCCTAATTTGCCATGGAGCTTGGAGCTGTCACCAGTAGGGGATTGTGGGGTCAGATGGGAGCTGCCAGGTTTTTGCCCTGCAGCTTGTATCTCTCACTTTGAATAGAGCAGCCCCCTGCCTGCCAGTTAGCTGATAGGCCGCCGTGGGGCTTATGCCACTATGTACAATAGGGAAGGGCTGCACAGGCTGACTTTATAATTGTGAAGCTAGCTCATATTTCCACAGCTACTGTGCTGCATAATTTCTAATAAGTAGTTTTAACAAATGTCAGATTATGAAAA